GAATGAAATGGAATGAAATGGAATGAAATGGAATGAAATGGAATGAAATGGAAGCCTCCTGCAGCAGGTGAAGGAATAACTAAAATATAATTCCTTCATGATTTCCGAAGAAAATATCCAATGCTTCCTCATATGCAATTAAATGTTAATAGCTGTTATTTAGTTCTTAGAGAATCACTCCGAAATACAACTAAGTGCTTTTTTATCAAAATGTGCCAAAATTTCACTGCTGGCATCCCATTTTATTAAATTAAGTTCTATCATCGGTAATGTTCTTATCTATTACACTGAATTACTTAGAATCATCATGATATGCGTAGTTTGATTATACTTATATTTTTCTACATTTATACTAATGATGTGCAGTCATACCAAATACCTTACGATTAACATGCGGAATTACGAAAAAAAACAACAAACAAACAATACGAAAACCAAAATAATGCTATTGATAGATGCAAGTAAATATATAGTGTTATACTTAGTCAGTAATAAAGTAAGTTTACTGGGAAGCTAGCCATGAATGAAGCAACTTGAAAACTAATAATGCGATTTAAATTCTCTGTATTTTAACTCGCAACCAACAAAGTTGCGTTTAATTTAGGTAAGATATGCTCATTGCAAAAATGGAAAACACGCAAGTTTCCCTAGTCTGTATTTGGATATCGATATCTTTTCAAAAACTGTAGGTTTGAGAAGAAACTTAAAAAATTACCATAACTACGTTATCTATTCTCAACCACTCATCATTGAAGCAGAAAGTATTGGTCAAGGAACATTAGTATCCTAGGTTTATATATTGATTTATTATTGATTATTTTTCATCCAAATATGTAAGATGAAAATATATATAATCGTTATCTTGGTGTGACAGCAATTAATTTCATTAGGAATACTACGAGCGAAAGACCGAAAGAAAAGCGTAAACTTATACTAGTCGAAGTATTTTTCATTAGCTAAGCTCGAGCTTTATTTTAAAGGAATTAGAAATTACCAACTTAATGCTAGTTCTTATAAGTACAGTGTTTGTAGCTATGCGAATTTCAACAATATCGGAATATTTATGACTGTATGTTTATTTTGTATGTTCGTTTTCATATGCCAATTGTTTTATATATTACCAATTTTGAATACGAAAGTTATAAAGCTTTTCATGTATATGTATATATGACAGGATACCAGCGCCATATTTATGTTACCTTTAGGGGATGTCGAGAATAAACACGCTGAATGAACCAGGATAGTGATCAGAAAAGTATACTTGACGAAGATAAAATTTGGTGATCCATAGCGTAGTTTGTCTGCAATGGCCATTTCACAGGAAAAAATAATAGCTGCCATATGCAGTTAAGTACGATTCCGCTTAGATTTTTGGCCGTGATGGCATTCTTTTCATCAATACCTAGCCTTTTTGTTCACCGCTCGATACAAATACAGTTTCACTTGTAAAATCAGTCTTGAAGTTTCGATAATAATGACATGACACGGAGAAGTTCTCTTTATGCCCTTAGGACATTTTTGTTATGCATCGTCTCATTTGAAAAAAAAAACAGTCATCTGCAACAAAAGAGAATAAATCAAAGTGAATAACGGAAAAATATTGATACTTATCACAAATAATAATAATATACAGATGAAAAAATATTTTGTTTTAGTAGTTAAAATTAGTTAAATAAAATTAATGAAATAATAATAATAATAATAATAATAATGATAATAATAATGATAATAGTAAT